AGGAGAGAATGAAAGTGCTTTTGTAATACTAAAGGAGTTATACAAACACAACACAATCTCTCTCTCTTTCTTTCTTTCTCTCTCTCTATCTCTCTCTCTCTCTCTCTCTCTCTCTCTCTCTCTCTCTCTCTCTCTCTCTCTCTCTCTCTCTCTCTCTCTCTCTCTCTCTCTCTCTCTCTATCCCTATCTTTATATACACACATATATTTATATTTATTGAAATCTCTATCTATTTATTTCAATGGCAGTGTATTATATAAATAGTAGCGAGAATTAAGTTGTTGTTCATCAATATAAACAATACAATAGACAAACACAATACACAAACATCAATATATATTGAAAAAAAATTGTAAAGATTTTGAAACAAAAGTAAAGAAGAAGAGATGGTTTACTTCTTGTAGTTGTGTTTCATGTGTTTCATGTGTTTCATGTGTTGTACAATCAAATTATGTCAATACTCGGATCGTGTGCTCTAAATAAATAACTAGTCTTTCACTAAACACTTTCACTTAAACATTACAACCATCTCTATTGAGCTACCAGTGCTACTACTGGTCAACACTGGACAACCATTCATTGTATTTTATAATAAATTTAAGTAACTCTATATACTATTATATACAATATATGAGATATTTTTTTTTTATTTATTTCACCTCATTTTTTCTTTTATTAAATGCTCCAAACATATGAAAGCAATTATTTTATGTACACTGTTATGCCATTTAATATACTGTACATAAAGTATTATATTGTATTATACATTATAAATATATATTTCTATAACTACAGTTGTATTTACTTGATTTTTTGGTTATATATTTTATCCATTATATCTGTATAATGTAATTACATATATATATATATATATATATATATATATACAGTATATATATATGTTTGTATTTTATGTACATTATAATCTCAATCTTATTTTCTATTAAGCAAAAATAAATTATAAGTAATTTTTTTAATTTATAATTAAAAACATTATAAACTAATAAAGATATTAACATATATACTGTATATCAAATGTAACGATCAAAATTAAGCAACATTTTGTTGGTTATTAATATTTCCTATTACTATATTACTACTTTTGTTTGTTTGTTTATATTTTTATAATATTATATTATTTTAAAATCGTAATTTATATTATATTTTAAATATTTATATCAAGTATATTTAACTATATTTAAATATATTAATTATTGATGATATTTAAAAATATAATTTAGTATATTTTAAGATACAAATCGTTTGTCTTTTATAAGTTAAACATTTATGCATATCATAACAGAATAATATCAATAATATCATTACAAATAGTGAAAAGTTTCTAAAATTTATTTATAATAATATTCTATTAATATAAGAATTATAATTATTTATAAAATTTATATACAGTATGTATAAAACGTAAAACTTAATATTTTTATAAATATGTAAAAAATAATTCAAGATTTAAAATATTAAATTATTAATACATTATATAATTATAAGTAATATTTGTGGTTAAACTATCTATCATAAAATTAATATTTGAATTTATGTAATACAATAATTATTGTTATTTGTATGTTTATAGATTATTAGAATCACAAAGTCTGCTACATTAGTTTATATAAATTTTTTTTATTAATTTTATTAATGATTTAAAATGTTTGTTTACTTAATGTACATTATATACTATATATATATATATATATTAAGTGTTACACATCACTGCCCATAAATACATGAATGAGTCCACTCTATAAGCCCTTAGATTCTCTACCTTTAGTTTATAATTATTAATGCATTGAATTGAAAGCAAAATAATTGCTTTACTTTAGATTTTATTTTTATAATCTTTTTAAATTTTTTATGACATATTTTATATTATATTTTTATACTTTTAAAAAATATATTATTGTAAAAATTTAATTTAATTTTTTTTCTATACTTCAAATATATAAAACTACAAAAAATATGATCCAATATATAGTGTATATTAAATAAATTTAGAGTAAATTAAAAGCATTTTTATTTAATACAAAACACAAAAAATGTAATTTTTATATCACTTTAATAACAAAGAGTTGTGTATAAAGTGTTGGCAAAAAAAGAAAAATTTCTAAAATAATAAAGAAATTTCTAGAAATTTGTTAAAAAGAAATTTCTGTTTATATAATGACCATTTAATTTTTGTACTCTCAATATTTGTCATACATTATAATCACAAATAATAACTAAATATTATTAATAGTAATTTAATAATATTGAAAGTAAAAAAATAATCTATTACATTAAACTAAAAATATAACTAATTGATAAATAAAATTTAAAAAACAAAAATTATTATTAATATTATAGTTATAGTAATTTTATATATAGGTATCCCATACGTATAGTAAAGTAGTGTATAATATATCATGTTTTATTAATACTGTAGTATTACAATAGCTATAAATATGGAGATCCCATAGTATAATAATAAGATAAAATTACTATAGAAAATTATTCCTGAGAAATTTACTAATTTTTTTATGGAAATTTATTAGAAATTTCTATTTACCCATCTCTAGTGTCTAGTAGCCCAACTACTGTATAAATTTTCTCAACAAAACTTTTAAAATAATGTTTTTAAAACAAAGTTATTCACTATCAGTGATATATTTAACATAAAGTAAACATATTTATTTAATAGTAAACATTATAAAGTATAAAACTAACAAAAATTAAAAATTTAGTACGTTTTACATAAACTGAAATTGATTAACTTATTTGATGTTCAGTACTAAACAATTAATATATAATACTATACTCTAGTTTATTGGTATAAATGAATAAATTATTTCTTATAGATTTATTTGTTATATTTAAAATAACCAATAAATTGTGATTTTTATTAAATTTATTTAATCAATGTCAAATATTTGTCCAATCATTAGACATATTATTAATACGTTATTTTGTATTATTCTAAAACTACAGTATTATATTCAATACTAATTTTTAAAAATGTGTAAATTAACGTTTATAGGTAACAATGTTATATTTGCATTCAAATTTTTGATCTAACCGATAATATAACAAAATGTATTTTATTATTTATTTTTAGAAAATTAGTATCCTGCTCTAATTTTTTAATTTTCATTATTTATTATTATTATTTATTATTTAAATTATAACGTTAATTAAAAAATGATTATAATTAAATTTATTTCATTTAACTACTACACAAAGTATTTTTATTATTTAAATATAAATATAATTAATTAATTAATTGTATAAAGCTATTTATAATTTACTGGAAATAATATATATATTTATATAAATTAAAATTTTTATAAATGCAATTAAGAGTTTATATGCATATAAATCATTATTTTATTAAAAGGACATTTAATTAACTATAATTTATATTGAGTTATATCAGCTTATATTTAGTAAATTTTGAGAATTAACAGGTTAAATGATAAATACAGTTTAGTATTGTAAATATTATCTTATAATTATAAAATTTATTAAGCTTATTATTTTATAATAAGTTTAAAAACAAAATATAGTAATCTATATTAAATAACTATGCCTTTGATAAAATCTTAATGATTACATTTTATTCTTATAATAAAACGTATAAAAATTGCGATTATTATACAGTAGTGAACAGCATTTTGTTATATTTATACTGTATTTACAAAAAACTTTTTAAAAACGGAAAACAACAAACAATATTTTAAAAAGCAAATCTCAACAAATAAATAATGTAATAAAATAAAAGTTTATTTCTTAAATGTCAAATATAAAGACTTTTTTCTACATATAATAAAGTAAAAGTCAGTTATATTATGTGGTGATGTAATATATGGATACATTTGTCGCACATACTATAAGGTTATATAATTAAGTTTATGCCAACAATTATTGAGGAAAGAAATAAAAATGTTATTATTTTTGCGGATATCCCTCAAGGCTTAAGAGGTGGCAAAATGATGGTGTCATCACTAAACACATTCATATTATTTTCACATAAAAATAGGAGTCGACTATAATTAGATCTACGCTTTTATTTATATATTAAGACATCACTGGAAATACATGTCTCGTTCAAACCACAACAGCATACATATCATTGATTATCACATCTATTATTATATAAGTTATAACCGTTTAGATACACATATAATACATGTATTGTCAGTCAGTTTTAATGGCAGAAATACACACATTTTATGAGACACACTGGCCGTCAAAATTGGATTATTTGGTCTATAGATTAAAACATGTTTAATAAGCAGTGATGCAAACAAATAATTCAAACACTAAAATACTATATAATAAAACTGTTTTCTATAGTATCTCCACTACAACCAGTGTTTTTGGCAATTATATTATAAATATAATAATATTAACATTTAATAATTATTTAATAATTTGTAATTACAGCAATATAATCAATATTAAAATATAAATTTAACACATCAGTAAAAATTAAAAATTAATAACTTTATAAACGTATTCATAATTAACAATGTTTTATTTATCAAATTTTAAATGCTTCCATAAAATAATAATAATAATAATGAAATTTCTTTGGAAATATTACTCATGAAAATATTTTTTACAATATTTAACTATAACTATAACTAAATTTATAATTACAATAAAATTAATACAGTATAAACATAAATTGCATATTAACAGTTGCATTGAATAGTTGAATATAAATCATATACTGAACATTAATTCATTGACTAGTATTTGAATATTAATAAAATGCAAACATTCGTTAATAAAAATATTATGCAATTAAATGCTTTGCAATGAAAAAATAATAATTAATTATTCAAAAAATGCTTAATACTTAATATACATACCAAATATATATCTATTACTTTTTACATAAAGTGTTTTATGGAAAATGATATGTTAATGAATGATAAAGTCTCTCTCTTTTTCATTATGAAAATAAACTTAAGTATATTATATTAAATGTGATTTCTATAGCTTCGACGATGTTATTGTTATTATTACGGTATTATTATTATTATTATTATTGTTGGAAATGATTGTCTCGTTTTAGCGAATCAACAGAATCTTCACTCAAGAATTTAATGGATTTCTTTACTCTAAGAGATTTGCATTGAAGTGAACGCTAAGAACTCTTCCATTATTGTCATTGTTATTGTAATTGTCATCAAAGTTGTTGAGTAGACGTTGAGTTATATCGTTGTTATCGTTATTATATAGTTATTGGCCTCAAAATCTTTGGCATTTTACTCATCAATCTGTGTATTAGTCTATTTACAGTTGTTTTGGTGATTCAATTCATTTACTGTTTACTGATTCAAATACTTATAAATCCAATTCATATACGAGAAAACATTGGAGTATAATCCAGGCATTAGTGGTCGGGCACAGCCTATTGTCAATGAAATTTAATATAAAATCATTGAATAAACATATAATTATATAATAATATACTGCATATAAAAGTATACATTATATAAATCATCAAACATATACAACATATACAACAAATGCTAAATATAAAATATTTAAGATCTCAGTGTTATCAATTATTAATGTTAAATAATGGTTATTAAATTCTCTCTCTCTCTCTCTCTCTCTCTCTCTTTCTCTCACTTTCTCTCACTCACTCATTTACTTAACAAATAGTATCTTAATTTCAAACAATATGACTAACAGTATATTAAAATAATTAATTATATGACAAACCGATTCCCGTCGATACGATTCCGGCAACAAAATAATATTCCTGTCCTCCTGAAGCTGTAATATACATGTCTATATGTTTTTAAATTTATTATAACTACTCACTACTACTATATATTATATTATTAAAGTCTGATAAATTAATTATTGTCATTAATTAATTTTTTGCAATTAGTTAACAAAATTAGCAGAAAAATGTAAAAAGACATAAAATTATAAAACTTACGGCTTTGATGTTTGAGAAGTAGAGGTCCACCTGAATCTCCGTGACAGGCGTCGCGACCGCCAACCTTATAACCGGCACATATGAGTCGATCGTGTATTTGCATATCCCTACCGGCCATACGGAACCATTGTTCACATATTTTGTTGTCAATAATAGACAGTTTGACTTTTTGCAATTTGTCACTATAATTATCACTTTTCTCTGTCTTTTTGCCCCAACCAACTACTATACCTTCCCGACCGGCCAGTGATTGGACATCAGTGGGCGGGAAGCATACGGGCCACGCGTACTCATTCCAGTGAATGTCTCCGTGTGTTTTCAGTAATGCTATGTCAGCGTTGTTAATGTTTGCACTTTTGAAGCCTGAATTACGACTGTAATTGTCGTGTATAACAATCCTCTCAACGGTGTAGTCACGTGTGTTGTGGTCGGCCCGGTGCAGGTCATACTCGCCGATGCGGACAATAAAATTGGTGCTCAGCTGACTTTGGACACAGTGGGCGGCTGTTAATATCCAGCGCTGGCCTATTATGACACCTCCACACTAAATATTAAATTCAAGTTTAAAAAGTTAATAATAGGCCAGAAAAACATTTCATAAAATATGTTAGAAATATAAGATAGATATAAGTAAAAATGACTGTATGACAACCCATTAAATTAATAAAAAAAACGTGTAAAGTTAGTGAGTAAGAGAGAGAGAGAGAGAGAGAGAGAGAGAGAGAGAGAGAGAGAGAGAGAGAGAGAGAGAGAGAGAGAGAGTTAATGAAGAAAAGTAAAACAGAGAAAAAAGAAGAGAAACGTTAGTGTTTTAAGTAGTGGTAATAATGACAGACGTGATGATTGCCGTTTCTGCGTATGGATACAGTCCACGGGAACTCTCCATCATAGCTATGATTACCACCGACTACTTTGGATGTCCTTATGATTTGTTGTTTACCACATCCCGACGCTCTTGTGTCGACTCCTATGCTATTTAATGAATATATGAGAAGCACTAATAAGACGAAGAGCATCCTTATTATTAGTGAAACAAATGATTTTCATTATTATCATTGAAAGGTTCAAACTATTTATACAACAAAAATGATTATAATATATATGGTGTAAATGTCTTATTTTACTGAGTTTAAGGGCTGTCAGCCCCTGAATAAAAAGCATTGGTGTTGTCGTGTTGTCGTAAGTCAAGTCCCACTAACCTCATTATAACCTCATTCCCCTCTCTGCGATCAATCAATCAATCTATATATAGAAAATTACTAAATTATAGTCATAATAAAAGTGATATTTTATAAATAAAATTGAAGTTTTCATTATTACCTTTAATAAAACCATTTAATTTTAGAAAGTCTAACACAAATATTAAGTTTATTATTAAAAAAATGTTTGTGTATTTAAAAAGTTAGCTGAACTTAGAAATTATAAGAGTGTTTAGAAATTGTTTGAGAAATATCATACAAACATATGTAGAGAGAGTTAATTTTAAATGTTGTTTATAATCGCCAATAAAACTACAAACAAATACAAAAATTATTTTTATAATTATCCGGTATATTACAAAATATATTATTTATAAAATACTATATGATATTATTTTAGCTATTTATTGTAATAGATTTAATTATATTGCGAAAGTCATTTTGGATTTTACAAATATCTAATAATATAATTAAAGTAAATATAATTGTTATTTATTTATTTGCTATTTGATACTATATAAAAATTACACCATTTTTATGGATTATTTAAAAATTGTTTTTACAGACATTATAAAACTCTCAAGTTTTTATATTTGATGCGAAAGGCAACAAATGCTTTAAAAATAGTGATTGAAATGTCAAAAAACTTTTCAATATTGTTATTTTGTTTTTTCTAAATAACTTATTGATAATAATAATAATATATGATATTTCTGTGTTTGTCGACCCAATATAAACGATATCTAAATTGATTTGTTTGGTAGTTAAACGGCAATAAGGGCTGTCATCTTATAGACCGCCTTTCAGTGTAAAGTATTATTATATAATATTAAACCTAAAATCATATTTTTAAAGTTCATTGTGTGTCTCTTTTTTTGTCTTTATGTAAACGTAAAGATTTATATATAAATCTATATATTACAAGATGTATAGTAGAGTATATATTATATATAAAAAATAAAGTGTCTCTCTATTGTCAATAAGTTTTCAATTTTGACTGAATTTTGTATTTTGTCTTTTATTGCTTATAACATATTATTTGTTTTTATGCTTTACTTAAATCTAATATACTGTATATTGTTTTTATATTGTTTTAACACTTAGATATGAATATTTTGAATGATTTATTAATAAAAGTGCTATTATATTACTAATATATAACTATATCATATCAAAAAGATACTTGTGTATTATATATATATATATATATATAATATTTCTATTTCTAACTATATTATTATTTTTGCTTTTAATATATATTGTTATTAATCTTATTTTATTAGGTTTATATATTAATATTAGATTGAATAATATGCAAAAATTAAATTTTTAAAAATCTGCATTATATTTACAATATCTTTTACATATGAATTGGTATTTTTATTTTATTTACTATTTATATGATATTATATTATGAATAGTATATTTTGTAAAGTTCAGAGGTAACAGTGCACTACACTCGTGGTGATGACTGCACTACTGTTTGTATGCCTGTGTTGTGTTCAACAGCCTAAACAACGTTAGGCATGTCTGACCTAAATAGGAGACAAACATTTTTAATATACCATATACTGTATAATATTATAGTATATAAATTTATATATAGTATAGCTATATTATTATCCATATAATAAACATTTATAAGAAAATTTCTCTTATTTTTATGTGAATTTATTAAACAAACAAATTTATAATATTATATAACATTTTTAATGCAATAAACCTAAACATTGACTATATTTATGACATCCGTTCCTTTTTTCTAAGGCTTAACACTTTCATATGATTTAATGTTTTATGCATTTCTAATGTTTTCACTGAAATTTTACGCATTCGTGTGATTTTATGGTTAAAATTTTCTCTCGCTCTCTATTTCTATAATATAAGACTTTATCTAAATTGAAGACTCAGTCATCTATAACCAACAATTTTGAATTATTTTTCATATATATATATAAGCTTTTTTAAAGCTATTTATTAAATATTATAATATATTAATAGTATCACATAAAACTTATTAAATGACATTAATAATTAAATTCGTGAGTTATTCTATGATTTGCACAAAACATTAATAAAAATATTTATTTATATTTATTATTTTTTCTATAGTTAAAATTGTAAATCCTTATTTTACTGTTAAGTTTTTATTATATAATAAAATGATTCAATATATGTAATTATTTTATGAATAAATTTTATGCTATTACTGTTTTTTATAAAAATAGAATAATTTTAAAAATATATTAAATTAAATCAAATATAAAAAACTTTCAGAAAATCTCATCATTTAATTTCTAGTGTAAACTCAACGATGAAATCTCTCTTTTATTTCCTTTTATTTATATAAGAATTGATGTCTTTTGTATACATATTACACACAAATATTTGTTTCATTTGTCATTTCAATTCATTCAACGATTTTTATTCATTCACTGATTATTATTTTATCAAATATTCTGACTAAATATCAATGTTTAATATAATAATAAATTATATAAACAAAAAAAAAATCTATATAGATTGAAATATATAAATTAGATCATTATTATTATATTATTTTTTTTAGATAAATTAATTTATTTTATATTAATAAATTTAGTATTTATAGTTTTATGTATCATATGTATAATATTTATCCTATATTGTATTAACAGCAAAATCAAAATATTTAAAACAAAAAGAAAAATGATATTAATTTTGTAATAAATATTTATATAGATATAATGGATTATTATGAATATAAGATTTTTATGTATAAAAATATCATTTATTATTCAATACATGTATATAAATATTTAAAGCTTTGTGTTGTTGGAAAGTATATACGATATATAATATATTTTATTATTGTATTCTACAGTATATATATGCGTTAATTACTACTTTTCATTATAATACAGTACTTTAATTAATATGTAATAACATATTAAACTTAACAAAAAATTATTTATTGGTATTAATTAATTAAATGTTATATAAGATCTTAAAATGTCTATATAAAACTAATCAATACATATTAAATTATGATTTAAGTCCAAATAACAAATCATAAAAAATAGTCAAAACATTAGCAATCAGTGATACAGACATCAAAATTATGTATTTTTGTTTGAATATAAAGTAATGCATTTGTCAGACAAATATATTTTACAAAAAAGCATTTTTAAAGATTGATTGCCAAAGCAAACAATTTTGTATTTTTATTATATATTTATCATTCATTGGATTCAAACAATGTCTGTATCAGTATATTATAAATATATATCTGCATTTTATATATTTTATACATATTGTATAAATAATATGGGTTTGTTATATAAATTATAGCTTAAAAAATAAAGTGGATTTTGATTTGACTCATTTTTTGTAAACTTATATCATATGTTATTATATTATATTTAAATTATATATGCATAAATATAAATTTACAAACATTACTTTTTATGTTATTGTTATTTATTAAAAAGTTGTTTTAGAAAAATGATATATATATATATAAAGTTAGTTTATTTGAATTTTCTTATTTTTTACCAAATACACTATTTCAAATGATAAATAACTATAATATAGTCTATCAAGAAAATTAATAAATTGTTTAAAAATAAAAAATATATTTACTATAATTAATATTTCTAAAAACAATTAAAAATATATTTTAATACAATGCATGACCATAAATATATTGATTAAATGTTTTAAATTATAGTTGTCAAATATTATTTAATTGTGAATATAATGCTAAATTTAGAAATCAAACATAAAAATAATATCAAATAACTTTCAGGTGTTACCTGTGTTTACAATAATCTCTAACTAAGCATTGATTGATAATGTTTATAAAAAACAAGTATTCACATAGTTTTTAAACATTATTTTTAAAAATCCAATTTGTTTCAATAAAATCTAATTTTTAGAGTATTATTTGTTTATTTTATCAATTAACATATTCAGTGCATATCAGAACATATTATTTATTTATAAAAAAATTTTACAGTAAATAAATTTAAATTGTTAAATAATTTTATTTTAATGGTTAATACATGTAATAATTAAGAATATATTCTATAAAATGTTTATAATTAAATTCAGTGTTGCTAAAGGTTTTCAAACCCAAATGGTAGTCAAATGGCATAAATCTTGGGGTATAATGGGGTGTAGTTTTTATTAAATTTTAATAAATTCACTAAAAAAGAAAAAATATTACAAATTTAATTGTTTAATACTCGCAAAATATTTTCTTATACTAATAACATTTTTTTACAAAAGATTAGAAAATAATGAATAGTTTTGCATAAAAATATTTAAAAAGTTAAAAATGAATTATAATAATTATTTATTTTTAAATTTGAAAATTATAATAGTTAATTAAATATATAATGAACATCTGATACTTAAAAAATTACAATGATGGTAATAATGATTAAATAATAATAATGTTAAAAATAATATTGTATTTATTATTAAACCAGTTGAGAATGCTTCAAAAGCATTTCCATACGAATTCCTTAACTTAAAAAAGAAAAAGAATCAAAAAAAAGTTTTTGACACTATTTTCTCTATGTTCCTAATAAAATAAACTTAAAAAAATTTCAAAAAATCAAAAATTTTTTAGTTAATTATTGGACACCATTTTCTTGAAAAATAAACTTAAAAAATCACAAAAAAAATGTGTAGCTGAATGTGGATTCGAACCTATGTCCTCGTGGGACAGACAGACAGACAGACAGACTTATAGAATGCATATACGTATTCCTTTCAGGAATTCGTGAAAAAGAAATTAGTACAATAATAATATACTAATAAAAATTTCAATTAAATTATTAATATAAATAAATAATTTGGGAATATAATGTATAATATATCATATATAAAATATTAAATATTAAAGTACATATATCAAATTGTCTATTGAGTAGTGTAAAAAATTTTACAACTATACATTATAATAAAATTTATGCTAAAAATGTGAGTTTTTGACTTATTTATTGAATTATGATATAACGATCTGAAAAAAGAAAATAAAATATTTGCTTTATTTTCCGGGAAAATTCAATGGAATTATTTGGAGTTTAGGAAACTTTATTTTGAAGTTTTTCCCAAACTCTATATATAAAATATTTTTTAATATAATAAGTATTATTACTTTAAAAACATATTTTACGTTAATTAATAAATAAAATTTATTTTTATGTTTTATACAATTAATTTATTTTATATTGTTTTTATTTATTCATTTACTTAAAATAATGTTATATTGATGTAATCATTTTTTGAGTATTTAACTACTTTTAATTTATTTATATTAAAAATCATTAGGATTATAATTTTATTGTTTAACCCCCCCCCCCTCAAAAAAACTCGATCTAATTTTTGTAAGATGGCTTACCCTCTATTCCCCTGTATTTTAATTAGCAACCCTGATTAAATTATACATTATTAATATTTTGATTTCTTAAACTTTTAAAACATGTATCATATATGCATTCATACAATTTTAGTATTTTTTAGATTTATTTAATGAATTTTGTTTAATTATTAATGTCTAAATCTAAACACTAAAGTCGTATGAATAATACTTTTGAATACTTAAGTTACACTAAATGCATAAAAGGATAAAAATTAATTGATTTTTGAATATAAAAGTTTAATTAATTTGATTTCTATTAGTTTTTAAAAAATGTTTACACGTTTAAGTAAATAATATAAAAATAAAATTTCGTAATTCGTAAAAATATTATTTCGTCTATAATTTTTAAATAATGCAATGCAAATTCCATACAATAATATTTTTATTAAAAATAAAATTTCAATCAATAATATGATATACTTGATATACACTAAGTGTCAGTAATGGGTTTATACTGTAAATACCAATATATTTAGTAAATGCTATACAATTTTTTTTTTATTATAATAATATTAGTATTATTATTATATAAATATTTGCAACTTCAATAAAAGCTTTAAAATTATTTAATAGTTATTTAATACATTTAATGTAAATAAAAATAAATATATAAATATTGTTACAAAATTAAAAAAATTAAATTAATAAAAAATAAAATACAATAATTTTGTTTATATGATAGTTATTCGACCCATTAATATAAGTGCTGATGAATTGGTTTCAATGATCATATAAATGAAGGGTCGGTTTGCTATGAATTCTGATTCTATGGAAACTTGTTTTTCACTTCCTGTCGATTCTGTGTTTATCGAGCCGTGAAATATAGGGTTATTATTATTAGGTCTTTTGAATTCAAAGTACGACTCGTGATATATACGATTAATATACAGGTTTTCGGCGGTTAATTTGGTCAGTTGACTGGTCTCTGATTGAAACACTGATTTAACACCAATATGTGGTAATATGCGGTCCAATCTGAGACAATTGCTTACTATAAACGATTGCGGTATCATTGCATTGACTACCCGTGCCGTCATATTATTTAACTCATTAAACAGTATGTTAGGTGTAGAAAATATCTGTCTTTCGGTTGACTCTAAGCTATGATTATGGTTGGGTAGTACTATAATTAGCTCAAATTTCTTGTTAACCGTAACCGTATCCGACTGGAGAGGTATTTTCAGTATTGAGCTGTTGAGGCGCGCACTGGTGGTTATATTGGCTAACTTTGTCCATTGAATGTACTCTGTTTTTATAGGACGCCAACCAAATGCGAAAAAATCACTTTTGATGAATAAACCATTGCTAAAGTCAATGGCATTCATGTATAGATTGCTCATTACTAGCATAGCTGTGTCTTCACGAAGGGGGTCTAACCTAATCTTATGACTTATTAGCTGCGATCGGGTACTGTTTTCCAACCATTTGGCCAATTTCTGGTCAGTTATGTTTCGGGCCAATCGGAAATTGATTGCTTTGATTTTAGCTGCAAAATACTTGTCTGCGTCAGACATGAAGTTAGTGATGATTTTAGTGCCATCTCTTAAACAGATTCTGTTATTTAACTTCAATTCATTGTTGGCCATCGATTCTGTAGCTATTGGTGTCTGCAAATAGTTTAGGACATTCTCAACGCATTCCTCCAGTTCTTGTATGTTATCAATACTATGATAACTGACATTTAATTGTAAGACATCGTGTATTTCATTGTATGACTGACCAGACGATGTTCGCAATAGTAATGCCATCATTACTGATATACTTATCGGTGAAAATAAAAAGTTTGGATAGACTTCGCACATAAACTGATATAACTTTAATCCAAACCCATTACTCATGTCTACAAAAGCTTTAATTCTAGTATAGATGCGATGAATCTTATTTATGCCTATTAAATGGTCAAATGTACCAGTACCATTAACAATTGTATGGTTATTATCATCACTAGTACTACTATTATAGATATTATCACTACTATTATTTGATAAGAGATCCAATTTACTATTCATTAAGTTTGATGATGACATTAATTGTGTATTATTAGTGCCATTACGTGAACCAACATAACTACCGTTTTCAGTGTTCATCTCATGTTTACTATCACTACCAATAATAGTGTCATTTACTGAACAATTTATATTCAATATTTGGCTAACATTCTGCAGCACCGTTTGATTTTCCAATTTATTACCTAAATATTACATATATTTATAATTTATAGATTATTATATTGTTTTTTAGTTAACTAATATCATAATTTTTTTTCAAAAAAAACATGAAAAATAATATTAGATTAATATTAAAAATTCTATTTAAACTTAACAAATTGTAATAATATTTATACAAACACATATATAAACTACCGTAATTATAAATATTAATTATATTGTTTAAAACATTTCATTAATCTAAGTATATATTAAATATTTGAACAATTTAAAATAATATTAATTTGCACATATAGTTTACCACTAAAATAGCTTCGCATTTATATATATATACAGTATATAGTTTATTTGACTACATTTTTTGATAAGCAAATTAAAATAACTGAATGAATATCATAATTGAAAGCCAACTGCTGACCCATTATTATCTCTTTAATGTCCATTTCGTGTGCATTTTTACTGCAAAGTCTGCTTTTGTTGACAAAATAATAAGTGTTTTAACCCATTATAAAGAGGTATTCACTATTAAAACACATCAGATATACTATTTTATTATATGACTAAATTCTGTGTATTATTCAATTCAATGCACTTTTAGTATTTGTAATGAATTTTTCTCAATTGATTCTTACAAAAAAAGTCCGCAATTTTTTTATACTCGATTGACTTTCATTACAATTTAAGCGACAAATTGTTTGGCTTTGCATTCAATTATTGCAGTTTCATATTTTATTATATATTGTGTATATATATATAGAAATGCGGTAGAAATTTATAAAACACCAACAAAAGCAATTATTGCTAAAATTAATTACTAACAAAATGAGTTTCAATAATAATATTGTTGTATTATTAAAAATTAATTTCCCAAATTTAGTGAAATGTTTATTGAAAATCTCTATTACTTACTGACTATAATTTTTAAATATAAAAAACTTAATTTTATATTTAATTGTTTCACTCATTTAATTAATATTTAATATACATGTATTAAAAATAATAATAAATATACCGAATGTTTGGATGCCATTAGTTTTATTGATAAAATTGGTATTATTTACCAAATTGTATGTATGGTTGTTGTTGTTTTCAAATACATGTAATATTGTAACTAAATTTAAATTATTTATACAAATTATAATTAGATTTTTAGCATTTATATAATTTTAATGAAATATTTTTTAATAAATATCTTACAATTATTAGATGTTGTATTAGATGTTGTGCTAGAATTTGAACCAATAGTTTGATTTATGGTCGATAAACAAATTAATGTTTGCAAATACATGTATTTTATAATTACAATTACGGCAATAGTTTTTAATATATTTATTAATGCCATTGATGATGGGTATCAAATAACAATATGATTGGGAAATCAATATTTTTTTAATCAATTAACAATTCAAAAAAATAATATATTATATTTTATTAATAATATTTTATTAAAATTTATATTTAATAAAAACCATAATTAATAAAATAATAATTTGTTATTATGTAATTATCGTTTCAATTTTTATTATCATATTATTAAAATATACATTTTTAGTTAACAATAATAAGAGTAAATTAAATGATATTGATAATTTTACTAATATTATTTATTTAAACTCAATTTTACACATTTATAATTTATAATCAAATATACAGTAGAAGTTATAAGTATGCATTAAATTACGTTTAAAGTATAACATTTGGTTTAAGTGACAGTAATTATTATTATACTTTAATAATAATATTATAAAATGTTTATTTAAGTTTTATATCAAATGATATTGATGTTTTTAAATGCCAAGTTTAATAAATTTTTTTATTAATCATTAATTTTAAATTACAAGTTAAACATTGAAACTTAGATATTTATATGAATTTTTAAAAATAACTTATAACTTATGATTTAGATATACAGTCATCTGATAACTATTGTTATTATACAACAAATTAGATATTTGATTCAAATAAAATACCAGTATATGAATGTTAATTATTTTATTATGCTTAAATTGACAAAATTAAGTGTATAATATGAAAGCATACGAAAATGGTTTAATTTAAAATTTTCTCATACGGATTATTTAAATATTAAAGTTTATTGCTATTATCAATACTATTATAATCCTTATTTAATGTTGTTTAATATATATATATATATATAAATCATTATTCTGGACAATTGTCAACCATATTATAAAGCCGATATACTGTACACACAAACATTATTTACATTAATTTAACATTTTTTTCAATTAGACTTAACTAAATTGTCTTACAATATATACTATAATTATGTTGTCAATGATTTAGAGATCATAATGCTAATATAATAATATATTTATATATTTAATTTCCCATTGGATTAATTATTAATGGTCACAAACAACTAACTTTATAGTGCCCTTGCTAGTTTATTTTCAGTTAAATTAGTGTAAACTTATATCATTGCTTTAATTACAATTATTTATGTTAGAGATAGAAATTAAAAAAATCTGTTATTACTTAAAATAAAAAAAAACCAAAGTATTGTTTTGCATTTTTGTTAGCATAACATAACTCTTTTGTTTGTCATATAATAAATTGTTATTAAAATCATTTGAATAAATTGCAAATGACAGCTAAATCGATAAAAAAAATCTCATTTAATGAGTAGTAATAATTTGAATTTGAGAAATTTTCTTATGAAATTTTTTAGAAATTTCTATTTTCTCATCTTTGATCATATTTTGTATTAAATGTTTGTAATATTTTTGATTAAATCTAATAAATACATTTTATTCATAATTAAATACTCTTAAATATATATCTTAATATTGTATACGTTTTATGTATGACATTAATTTGCATTACAATTAACATGGAAAATATACTAAAAGGTCGTCCAAAATTCTAATTGATTTTTGATATATTTTTGTATATAAAGGTGTTATTTAATATTATTTATAGAACGTCTAAATAGTGTTTCCATATTTTTTTAATTCTGATTTATTATAAAAAAATATATCAGTAAAAATGTTTCAAACAAAATATAAATAATATTTAATAGCGTGGCTTAACGTAATTAAAAATTTAATATTAAAATTGCATATATAGTACTTAATGAACGATTTTAAGCATAAAATAATACCTATTTTACATATTTTTATGGTTTTATATAAGACATAAATATTTATTGTACTTAATAGTAAAAATTTATGTGTATGATTTAATGATTATTAGTGTTTTAACTTTCACATTTTGAAATTAACACAAAATATTTATATTTATATGTGTTAATTGTAATATGAATTAATCTATATTAATAATAATTAATAATAATAGAGCAAATTTGTTTCTATGATTTAATTAATTTATATATTATAAATTTATATGGTATGAAAATTATTTACCATTTTTCTAAAATGTTAATCACTTAATGGATAATTTATGTTTTTATATTATAGTATAATAAAATATAAAAAATTATTTATGTGTTTATAATAAATAAATTTATTTAAACTATATATGTAATTGACTAATGTCAAAATTTATGTTATTATTATGTTTTTTAATTTTAATCATTATAAAAGTTTAATTTGAATGTCATAATAATTTAATTATATATTTAATTTATATGTTATATTAAATTTAGATGAACAATGTATGTGTTTATTAAAGATATTACATTACGGTTTACTCTAATTTATATTTTGCATCTTATATAAACAGTATAATTGTAACAATAATTAAATTTTTATTAATTCCAGTTTAGTTGATTCAAATAGATTTTACTTTAAAAAACATTTAATTAATAAAAATAATTATTTTTTAATAAAGAAATTTTATTTTTAAGCGAAAATATGTGCAAATTGTTAGCCAATTTATAATTAGTTGTTGTTATAACAACAAATTTTATGTCAATTTTATTTGTTTTGATCGCATTTAAGTAATTTTTGCACTGAAAGCCTTCACCAAAAATTCTACAAAACTCTTATAATAATAACAATAAAGAATATTCTCTATCATTCAATACTGACACTCAAAATCTAAAGCGCTTCTCCAAACAATTTGTTGGGAAAACTGTAGTTATTAGAGCACTGTTAGCGCAGGTCTTAACCACTATAATTGTTAGGGTCTTCTGGGAGTCATGTCTGTAGTCATTGTTATGATCAACGGCATCGGTGATGGTATATGTGTGCAACAGGCGGACATAAATGTATGACAGTGTACTGTCATTTAGCACTGTTAGATGAATCAGTTTATAAGGCACTACCAGTGCTGTCATTTTATCCAACCAACTCTTCTGTCATTATCGCACATACTTGAGAAACATATTTCATAAGTGAAAGTTAAAATTATTACTAAAAAAATTGTCAAACATTTTATTTATTAGTGTTATAAACGCAGAAATCAATTTAATTAAAAAATACATAAAAATGTGTATTTCACATAATTTTTTATAACAACTTTAATAACAATTGACATATTTTCTTTCTCTCTCTTTCTCTCTAATGCTTCCAATTTGTTGCTTATAATTACAATTGTTTTTGATGACTATTTGTTGTCTAATTTTGTGACTTTTTATGATTAATATTTTTAAACTAATGTATTGCCATTTTAAGAGTAACAACATTTTTGTATTAATTTTTTTATCAACTATACTCCATAATTGTATTTAAAAATGTAAAGTGTTTTATAAAGCTACTGTGCTTTAATAAAACTTTGTAAGCATTTTTTAATATTATCAAATATTAAAATAATATTGGTTTACAATGTTATTCATAAATGTTCAAAACTTTAATACAAAATGATTGTTAATAAATAAAAATGTTACTGACATTTAATGTTTATTTAACTGATTAACAATTAAAACATTTTGTTGTGTTTGCCAAACCCTTGATAACAAATAAGTTATGTTGTGTTTAATGAACACATATTTGCTTATTAACTGATTAGACAAAAATGAATAATAAGAAATCAATACTAATAAGGGATGGCCTTTGACTCTAATCATAGACACGGACTGACAAAATAATGTCACGAGAAAAGAGACTAAACACAAGACCCTGTGTTTGTAAATTTGTTTTTAACAGTTAACCAACAAAACAGTTGATTGTCATAATGTATAGCGGAATGACATCAACACTGTCTTCGGGTCGCAAACTGCGGCACCGGTCAGACACTCAGTCCTGTCGACAATCTGCAGGACAACACAGCAAACTATTAACACAAAGTGTGATTAAAACTAGAGAAAAATCAGTGACACGTCGGGTAATGGCCTACTTGAAGGAGGCCTGGAATGGACCCATAGAGGAGGGTAAGAGTCCTTCACTTCCACTCATATGTTTCAACAATTTTTTAAATAATTAAATCATTTCTTTTCATAACAATATTTTTTGTATTGTATTTAAATACATGTAATTATTATCATATTATTTTTTAAAGATAATTATTAAACAACAATGTTAATATTTTTATTATTGTAAATTATGGTAAAAGTTGTTATCATGAGTAAGACAATAGCCATAATTATAAATTTACATAAATTGTATTATATTTAAAATAAAAATATTAATAATAATTTTTAGTAACTCTTATTTACTTATTTTAGTAAATACATACAAACATAATTTAGTTGATATTTGATTTATATAATTTTATTGTTATAGCATTTTCTCGAAATAATGATTTATTTAAGTAAAATTATTATAAAACATTTGTGTCTTTAATTGACTTTCTATTTCTAAATTTCTTTTATTTTTATAATAATTTCTATTTCGTGTATTGGATAATATAATAAAAGCACAAATGTATAGTTTTTATTTATGGTCAAATGGTAAGTCCCTTTACTAACAGGAAATATAATCAAAATCATAATCAATTTTCTATAAGAAATTAATATAATGCCATTAGTTTCAAGTTTCCCAAACATGAAATCGGTTGTGCAGTAAATCAATTTGATTAGATTATTGAATACATTATAATATAATACAGTATATAATATGTAACTTTATTATGAAACAGATTGTATTAATTTATGTTATTGATATATATAAACTATTATTAATGTTATATTTTTACTGTATTTTAAATGTATTAGTTATTACGATATTTGCATTATAATTATAGTCAGTATTAATGTAAATCTAAATGATTGCAGTGTTTCTCAAAGAAACAAAAATTAATAACTAATTGATTTAGTAAATAAATTAAAAGTAATAGAAAAAAATGTTGATAAATAGTTAATACTTTTATTGATAATTTTTATGCTACTATTACCAGTGTTGGCAGAGACTAAATGTTTGCATAATACAAAGCGTATTATACAGTATAATACATAACCAATTTGACTTACAAAAAAATTAGCGTCACCTAGTGCTAAAAGCATTGAGTAAAGCAAAGCAAATCATGTTTTATAATAAATATAGATTTAATATTATTTTTTTATTGAATTTCATTTTTTATATTAAATTATTTGATTATTATAACTTAGAAACGACGATAATAATGAATTTCTARCAATTATTTTTTACTAAATATTTTAAAGTGATTTTTTAAGTATATTCACTTTTTAAAGTGATATTAGTTTTAAAACTTGTATAATACATACAGTATTATATTTTACTGTATTATACAAAGTAAAAATTCAAAACTTTGTATTTTTCCAACCCTGACTATTACTATTATTATTGCTAATAATACTACTACTACTGTACTTTATATAGTGTACACTATATTATAAACTATAAAATTATATTACTGTATAACTTGATTTATAATTGTAAAAGAAACAAAACAAAATTATTTTTATTAATAAACAGTAAGTTTTTCTTAGATTTAGTTAACTGAGAAATTGAAAGAATTATTTCCAAAACTTTATTTTTATTATGACTGTAACATCCAATTGGGAAAAATCAACTAATTTATAGCATAAAACTTGTTTTTCAGTGACTAATACAAAAACATTGAATAATAATAATAATAATAATACAAAATAAAAGAATCAAAATATTTAATGAAAATATAAACTGAAAATTTCATTCACTGTTTATTCTTTTAAGTATTTTCTATACAATAATAATCTCTATTGTGTTGTTACAAAAAAAAACTTTTTTCTCTTATTTCATTTTTTCACAAAAAAACTTAAATCCATTTTTAAGGATTACTTCTACTGTTTGTTGTCCTAAAAGTTTGACGAATTAGATCTTTCTTATTAACGTTTAGACAATATTTAGTTTGTATAATATATAATATAAATAATATATTTCATTATGTACTCAAAAACACAATGTTTTATAGTCAAAATCTAAAGTATCTAAAAAATAATATATAGCATAAAGTAGATATCTAATTTCCACTAAAATAAAAGCCACATTTGATGCAAAAATGCATGATATGTATACAAAAAATAGATTAAGATATATCTCTTTGTATTTGTAGTTTATATCACAAACTATAACCAAACAAATATTAAAAATTTTAGTGATCTATAAAATTGGTGATACATTGAAATCTAATACAACATTTTATAACAAAATACAACGACAACTAATAAATATATGTATATATTTATAAAGTTTCGAAACAAATTGAATTTTTTATATTTTTCTGTTTTTATGGTTGACTTATTTTGATGTTTTCTTTTGCTTAAATATAAAATACAGCATTTATTTACTGTTATATATATATATATATATATTATATATATATAGTTTTGCCAATATATATACAGTATATATATATATATATATTTAACTTAACTTACAGTACAAAAACGTTATTAAAAGGAATATTAAAAATATATATTTTATTATTTATTGTTTTATAATTGTTTATAATTAATAGTTATTTATTTATTTTAACATTTATTTATAATAATAGTTTTTTAAATTAAAAAATTATCATCATTTAAAATTAAATAATATTCAATAATATAACATATGCAGCATTTTTTAAGTAAAATATATTTTTTATTTATTGGTGTCGTAAGCACTCAAATAATGCATAATTTATAAGACTTAATACAATACAATCCAAGTTTTGATAATCACACCCTTAATATTATTAATATTTTTGATGATTAAATATATTAAATTTATAGGCAATGATCATATAAAGTTTATAATTAAAGGTTATATAATATGTACATATAAATATTATTATATTTAATATTTATTACTATTATGATAAATATTATAATAATATGTATTATAGATTAACAATTCAGTCATTTATATATATAACTCGGTTTTCCTGAATTTCACTTTCTCTATATTATTAACCCTTTTTAGTCTTTTTGAATCTAATTAATAGATATAATTATTGCATAATATTAATGAAATTTAAACAAAGATGTGATGCTTTTGTTTACAAAATTTTGAGACTTTCTATGACTTCATACGGAAAATAACAAAAAATATCTTTTCTATTGAAATGTAAAAATATAAGATTTCTCTCTTGTTTTGTTGACCATATTATATCAGTTATATAACAAACATTATATTTATGAAAGTTTTTCAAACCCTTATTGTTTTATTTATGAAATAAACGACAAAATTCATGTTTATATTTGAAATTTTATAATTATATTTTTCTTGTTTTAAACTCAATGGTTATCATACAGTATTCAGTTTATATGTTGTACAGAATGTAAATTTATAGTCAGCTATCACTGCATATATTTATTTGTTGCAAAAATGTTAATTTAAAAGGATGTCAGTTATCATTTGCAATCATTACGACAATCCGTTTAACTTGTATTATAAGATTTGTTGTTTTAAAAATATAAATGAAAACTTAATTTTATAAAATTTTGCTGATTTCTAATGCCTTAAATATAAATAGTGATAATAGTAATAACGTATATTACAATAAATATTTTAGTTATTTAAAACAATAAAATAAATTTTTATAGCAAAAAATTCATTAAAAACAAACGTACTGCATAATAATATTAAATAATATATATTATTGTTTATATTTGCTAATTTAAATTAAGGTGATTTAAATTGTATTTGTTAATACATATTTACAGTATATTTCATCATACAGTATAGTATGTACAATATATATTAAAATTTCTTAAAATGAAAAATATATATTTTTTAAATTTGTTGTCATGGAATCAATTTTTATCTTTAATATTTTTATTTTGTATATTATTATTATTTGTGTAGAATTTTTTCAATGGCTTCTAGGCTTTCCGTTTTTTGAGAGTTTATAAACATATATTTATATCCAGTATTTCATTACAATACAGTATATATACAGTACTGTAATATATATTATGCTTATATTTTATTATTAGTGTTGACAAAAAAGATAAATTTCTAAAATAGCTGAAAAATTTCTAGAAAGTTTTAAAAGAAATTTCTGTTTATAGAATGCACAAATTGATTTTGTTTTTCGATATTCTTGTAACAATTCATAGTTATTACATAATACATAATAATTATAATTGTTATTAAATATTATTTTTAGAATTTTAGTTAACAAATAGAGTAAACATTAAACTTAAAATATAATTAAATAATGAATAAAATCTTATTATAATTATACTGTAATTGTTTTATATATAGGGATCTAATTTGTATAGTAAGTAGTTTATAGTAAAGGTATATAAGACTATACGACTTCAAAAGTGTATTGCGGCAAATGGCGACCGAATTAATTATTGATTTTTTAAAAATTAATTATATTATTATAATTATTATATTTTTTATTTTTAATAATAAATTATTAAATAAATTTAGTTATAAATAATTATATTTAATTGAAATCTCATTTTATCTGAAACTAAGTTTACAGTATGTTATATGTCTCACTTATATAGTATTAAAATAGCTTTAGATATGGGGATTCCATAGTACATTAATAAAACAAAATTTCTATAAAAATTTATTATTGAGCAATTTACTAGAAATTTTCTCATGGAAATTTATTAGAAATTTCTATTTGCCAATTTATACTTATTATACATTAAGTATAAATACTTATTCCATCAAAATATAAATATTTTTAGTATTGTTGTATCGATTCTATGTATTTGAAAATTTGTTGTAATTTATAAAAGTAATATTATTGACAAAATATATAATTAATATAATATAATATATTGATAATTAATATTATATTAATAGTCTATTATAGACATTTAATAAAATTTAGAGTTTTGTTTTCTACTTTAAAATAAAATTTTAAGTTAATAATTAAAATTTTCATCATATAATTTCATCATGAGTCATATAATCACTTATAATTTAATTTTCACGAATTCCTGAAAGGAATACGTATATGAATTCTATAAGTCGGTCTGTCGGTCTGTCTGTCCCATTCGAATCCAGGCTCAGCTACGCATTTTTTTGTTTTTTTTTATTTTTTTTATTTATTAAGTTTATTTTTAAGCAAAAAAACAAAATGGTGTCCAATAATTAATAATAAAAAAACTTTTTTGAATTTTTTTGAATTTTTTTTAAATTTTTTTAAAGTTTATTTTATCAAGAACATAGAGAAAATTGTGTTAAAATTTTTAAGTTTAGATTTTTGTAAATTACTAATTAAAATTAAAAAAGTAAGTAAATTTCATATATTTTAAATGTTTATTTTAAATAATAATGTTAAATAAATTAAAAAAAGTACTTGTTTAAAATGAACAATTTTATTAAATTAATTAGTATAGAATTATTTGAAAAATTAAAAATTGAGTTATAAAAAATAATATCTTGCTAGTACTTTCCATAAACTCTGACGTAATAGTAAGTGTAGTACGTTTATAGTAATTTTCCATGAACTTTGATGTCATAGTAATTGTCGTAATTTTCTTGTCACGAATTCCTGAAAGGAATCCGTATATGCATTCTATAAGTCGGTCTGTCGGTCTGTCTGTCCCACGAGGACATAGGTTGGAATCCAGGCTCAGCTACGATTTTTTTTGTTTTTTTTTATTTTTTTTATTTTTTAAGTTTATTTTTAAGCAAAAAAACAAAATGGTGTCCAATAATTAATAATAATAAAAAATTTAAAACTTTTGAATTTTTTTAAATTTTTTTTTAAATTTTTTTAAAGTTTATTTTATTAGGAACATAGAGAAAATTGTGTGAAAAAATTTTTTTTTTGATTTTTTCTTTTTTAAGTTAAGGAATTCGTATGGAAATGCTTTTGAAGCATTCTCAACTGGTTTATAATACTTTTTTATAATATATTTTACTAATAATATTATTAAAGTTACACTTATTAACAAATAATTACTATTTTTATAAAATTAATGTATGAACACAATGCAACAAAATATATTAAAACATTTTATATAAAATTCCATATGTTTTGTATTTTATAAAGTATGTTATATACAATTACATAATAAAATTTATATTTATATTACTAATATAATATTAAACTGATAACTGTGCACAAATTTTTATCATCAAATAACATATATATAGTATTATTTGAAAACTTTAAATAAAGTTTTTCAAAAATTGAATTGAATTGAATACACTATACTATATATAAGTCAAATATATTAAATCCATACAATTTATTATAACTTTATAACATTTTTTATATATAGCTTTTCAAAACTAGTATTAAATTCATACATTTTATCAAAAATTGTAATAAAATTTCAAAATGCGTTTTATTATGAAGTTGACAACAAATAATTGAGAAATTTCTAAATAAATTAATATAATAATCATTATATTATTATATTTTATAATACTGTCAAGTAATATATGTCGATTTGGTTTGGTTTCTCAAAATGATTGGTTCCGGTATCTAATGGAAATTAATTTGTATAAAACAATTTTTAATCTTTAATATTATTAAGTTAATATGATTAACATTTGGTTTGATTAACATATATTAATAATAATTTAAATGTAACTTTATGTACAATTTATGTTTTATTTGTGCCAAACATTTATAGAAATATTTTACTTTAGTTACTAATGTTTAGTAGATTTAATTATTAAAAATTAGTAACAAAAAACATAAAAATACGTCAAACAACTAGTGATAAATATATGGCATATATTATATGCCATTTAAATAAATAAAAACTGTTTTATTAGAATCTAATTATAATTATATTAAGCGCATTCTCATTATATACATCTTAGTATATATTTAATAGAGTTTACGATTTACATCATAAAAGTTACCATTTTATATGTACTCTATGTTATAATGGGAAAAAAATTGAGAGTTTGACAACTATTTAGGATTAAAACAACTTTATAACTGATGTAAACTTTGAAGAGAGAGAGAGAGAGAGAGAGAGAGAGAGAGAGAGAGAGAGAGAGAGAGAGAGAGAGAGAGACTGTGTGGTCTCAAAATAGTTACACCAAATTTAATAGTATTATTATAATTATTATAAAGCAATCTATTTGTTGTGACTTATATTAAAAACGGTTACTTTTTTTCTCTCTCTTTTCTCATCACAACTCGTTAGTAAGGAGTTCTCTCACAGGAAAAACAGTTACAATATTAACTAATTAAGTGATATAAACTAATCATTACATTAGTTACAACTATATTATATTAAATTTGTGTTTTGGGGTTTTCAAAATTGTGTAAAAATTTTTTATTGGACAACAAATCAAATGTGTTTTTTTTAATTTTGCTGACAATTGCCAAACAATGCAAAGCGTTCGCTGTAATGTCGGATCAAATATTAAGTCAAAAGAGAGAAAGAAAAACGATTCGTCTGATAACTCATTACTGAGTATTTAATTACAATTAATTGCTAATTATATATATATATATATATATATATATATATATATATATATATATATATATACTGTATATATTATTATTTAGATAATTATAAAAGTTGTTAATAATATAATTTTGTCATATTATTAAATTCATTTAGGCTGTAAATATTGAATATATATTAATTAATTTTTATATTTATATATTTAAACAGACAGTGATTTTGAGGACTTGGATGGCCAACACACCCATTTCCGACCCGAAGCAATAGACACATTATGTCAAATGACCAAGTTCAATAAACGAGAGCTTCAATTAATGTATAGAGGATTTAAACAGGTATGTTATGTTTATAAAGCTATTAGTAATTTAATGTTTGTATTGGCTATAATTTTATCATCACATTAATTATATCACTATTGGATATTATAAAATCCAATTGGCATTTATGTCTGGATGAAATATTGATGTTAACTATAATATGTTAAATGAGATAAACTACACAAAAATCATTATTCATTTAAGCTATTTATATACAATATTTTCATTAAAATGTTGTTTAAATAAAAAAGTTTTGGTCATAAATATTGTTTAGTTGGCCCACATATTGCAATCTACTTAACAACACTTTCGTAGCGATCTATCAATAAATTCAAATAATTAAAGCAATAAACAGTAGTGAAACTATCAACAAAATACATTATTTATCAAATTATAAATTATGATTAATATTATATTTATCTGAAAATATTTAATGAAACCTTTTAATGGATACTGTTTGTGATTAATGATGAATTGTTGCTAATTTTATAGAAAATTTATTAAGTAATGATAAATTTGTCAATATTTTTTAAAAGTATGATAATTTAAATAATGAACATTAGTTATTGAGTTAATATTTTGTAAGTATTAAGTATATTAATTATTTATAAGCTTATAATATTAAAATAAATTACTCACTATATAGTTAGTACTATATTTACAAGTTATTCAATTAATTTTGATTCAATATATTTTTTAATTTATAATCAAAAAATTTTTGAACTTTTATATCATCAATTTATTAGCATTTAATAAACACAAACTTCAATAAAGATTAAATAAATGCCAAATAATTATATTGCTAAGCATTTAGTTGATAGTATTTTTACTTTTCAATTACTTTATCGTTTAATATAATTTTATAAAAAGTCTTTAAAAATACTGTTTTTATATTTTTTAAAAGACAAATCCATTAAAACTAATCGAAAACTAAAATTTTATAATAATCACTATATTATGTCTCTATAGTACAGATATACCGATATATATATTTTTCTTAACATTTTCAATAACGTTAACAACAGATGCAATAGTAAAGCAATTTTTAAGGCATTGATTTTTCAGTGAATATTATTTATACTCTCGGGATATAATCTATGCTCTCAATTACCGGCACTCAAAAGCATATCAAATAATTGCAACTCATAAACATAATTGAGACGACACCGAGATTTTCTTATGAGTGAGTGAGTGAGTGAGTGAGTGAGTGAGTGAGTGAGTGAGTGAGTGAGTGAGTGAGTGAGTGAGTGAGTGAGTGAGTGAGTGAGTGAGTGAGTGAGTGAGTGAGTGAGTGAGTGACTAACTGACTGACTGACTGAGTGTTAGCGCATAAGGAAACTGATAAGAACCGGGAGTTTATTAAAATTTATCGCAAAAATACTATATATTATTATATCAATAGTAGCTGTTGTTGTTGTTGTCATTTTTTTAACTTTATATATATATAAAATGCATCCAACTTTGAATATCAAAATAAAGTTATACTAATAAAAAACTTGTGTTTAGTAATATAACTAATAATAATGTATGATATATACAGTACAGTATATAAATAATATATAATTAATACAAACAAAAACAGTGGTTTTAGGTTATATCGTCATTATTATTGTTATATCTTGTGGCAGATTATTATTTGTATAACAAAATTTTTATGATGTATAAAACTTTTAAGACTACTATTAACGCATAATTTTGTAATTTATATTCATAATAAATTTGTCTTCAATTAATATAAATATGTTTAATTAAAATGTGTTACAATAATATAAAAAACTATTTTATTTATTAATTTTATTTCTAGTTTTGAGTTCGATTTATATATAATTGTTGTTTTGTTTTATTATTTAGTATAAAGTTTTTTTTGAAAAATTAGAAAAGAAAAAATAATAATTTTAAAAAACTTTTATATACATGTCTCAAATTATATTTATTGCTTGCATTGAAATTAATTTATAAATAATTCAAATCTTGAAATTTTGTACTGTTTATGAATTCCGCTATATTTTTTTAATGGCAATAGTTTTTATTTGCATAATATTGTGTGTATATTATTCAATGCACATACATTTAGAGATTATTATAAGTATAATATTTTATTGGCGATGAGTTAGTTATGTTGAAAAATTGTCTTTACTTTTACACAAAACTATTACAGAATATAATAATATAAATAATCATATAATAAATGCTTAATGGTTTATCACATAAAATAATTTTTATGTTTTTTATTTTTTATTTAGAAATCTAGTCTTTTAATCAATAATAAAATAGTTATCAAATTACAGTATAGTACTATTACTTGATTTTTTAAAATTTATTCCCGAAAAATTAAAAAATAAATGTTGTTTTAAACATTAAATTAATTTTTGGTTAAAAATAATATTAACAAAAAATTATATATAAAAAGAATTTTTTAAAATTATAATAAAAAATTATGTATAATTCATTAAATCCTGTGTAAAATTGATGAATTTATTTGTTTTTCAAATATTTCCAATGATTTTCATATTCTTTATATTTCTATTGCAAACATAGTTATAACATATTAAGCTAAATATTAGTATTAAGCTAAACATAGTCTACACAATTGAATTTAAATTGATTTTTCAAGTTTGAAAATAAATTTAAGAAAATAATATATTCTGTACTCAAGTTAACTACAAATTTAGTGGAAATTTATATTCAATTCAGTCATTTGCAGTATTTTGTTAGTTTATATATATGTATAATACAGTTTTCAAAAAATTCAATAACAATTTCTAGTCAATAATATAAAAGATAAATTGTGTGTAAAAAAGTAATTAAAGAGTCAAACTCAATATCCGAGAAATTTATAGCCATTAATTATTTACACAAAAAAAAGAAATTTGCAATTATTATATATGAGACTTAATCAAAACACTGGATTATTGTTAACTAAAACAGGAGGCGCCCAGTGGTGTAGTCCGTGAGGAGACGTTTAAGTTAATATATGCACAATTCTTCCCGAAGGGTGCGGACACCACCCAATACGCTCATTACGTGTTCCAGACCTTCGATCCCGACCACACCGGAGCCATCACTTTCACCGTTAGTTTTGTCAATAATATTATCACATTTTTCTAAAATCATTAATCAATTTATAACAATATATTTTAATTAAACCGATTATTAATGATTTTAGAGTTAATAGTTTACCCGATCTCTTGTTTTGTTAGGATTTTGTGATAGGACTGTCAGTATTAGCGAGAGGTACCATAAAAGACAAACTTCGCTGGACTTTCAGTCTCTACGATATCAATAACGACGGAATGATCACTAAAGACGAATTGTCGCGAATTGTTTCATCCATTTATGATTTGATGGGAAAGTCAGTCGAGCCTATGATTGAAGAACAAACATCCAAAGATCACGTCGAAAGAGTATTTCAAGTATATATTGAAATGGCATTCCTTTTCTACTACCCGTCCCTTTCCCTCCCATTTCTATCTAATCTCTCATTCCTTTCCAATACGTATTCATTTTCTTTAGTCAAAAAAAACTTTTTTTATTACAACAAATCAACTTTCATTTTTGGTCAAAGATTTTCATTTTATGAATGACATGTTTTATACACATATGTTGTTATTGTTGTTGTTATTATCGATGATATATTTAATATATTAATTCGTGTATTTTTTTCGAGGAAATGACTTCTTTTGATGTCATGAATCTCAAGAATTTATAGCCATTTATAATATACAGTATATATTCAATAACAGATTTATTTATAATAACTTAAAATTAAAATACTAAAAAATTATTTATTGAAAGTTGATTTATTTTTATTTTTATAAAAAAGTGTATAATTATTTCCACATAATATTTGTTAACCACATACTATTAAATTAATGTTATTATTGTTTGTATTACAGAAATTAGATATCAATAATGATGGATTCGTAACAGTCGATCAATTTCTTGACTATTGTCTTAAAGTGAGTGCATTTTAATTTATTGTGATTGTCTTTTTTAAATTTATTTATAGTTAAACAAGTTTATATTTTCATAATATGATATAAAATGGCAACATTATTAAAAATATTGTTGAATTAATTTTTTATACAATGATATACACTATATAAATGTATATGATTAAGTATCAAAATAAATTTACTTTTTTTAGATTTTTATGTGTATCAAAATATATTTAATTTGTTTAGCCAGTGTCTGAAGTAGTTTTATTTTAATTTAAAAGTAAACTATTTGTGAACTTATATGACTGCAAATATAAATATTTGAAACAATTAGTTAAAAATCTTTCAGTTTATTACAAATAATTTTACTAACCCTTCCGTTTGTCTTTTTACCCGACTCGCCAACTCCTAGTCCACTCAATTTACTCCAATCACCCCAACCTAACCTAACCTTAATAAATAAATATATAATAACTATACATACTTTCCAACTAACTGTACAATATAACAATATTAATAGTTATAAAATTAGTGAATTTATTGACGCTTGAAAGTACAATAATCTATGAATAGAAAATATCAAAATTATATCAAATATTTTTTGTATTTAATTACAATTAAAGTATAAATAATAATTATTAAATTTGTCTTATTTATTGCATTAAAGTATTTTTATTAACACAGACAAAAAATCAATTACAGACATAAACAACATAAAATTATTATTGTATTATTAGCGAAAAATACATTTCATTTTACAATACTTGTAATTAAATTTATAATACGTTTATTTTCATGTAATATATACTTTAATATTTAATTAAAAACATATTTTCAAAAAATAAATTTATTTGAATTTCCAACTACTGATATTCAGAAATATAAAAAACAAACTAAAAACTAGTAATTATAGTAATTGTTATATTAATTATAGTCTATTATATCATTTGATAGGACGAGACGATAACGCGTTCACTGGAGGTATTCAATACAATGCTGTGATTAATTGGGAGTCAAAAAAACTATAGACTAAATAAATGGATCGCAAATAACTTACTGCCGGTTCTGTGATGCGATCACATCATTATCGTAGAGGAAAATTGCTTTATGTTTTAGAGATGCGATGATTTGTCCGATAATATTAATAAACTTATGAATATAAGTAATATATGGACTGTTTTTATGATCTAAATATTAATGGATTTGCTCACAGAATCGTATAGATATATCATATAATTTTTATTATAAAAATGATAAGAAATACTACTATTTTTTTCTTTTATGTATCGACACTAATATTGTTGTATAATTAAAACAATTTCCATGTGAATGATTTAGTTGAATCAACAAATTAATACACAAAACAATAGTGTTTAAAATAAAGTTTAATTTCTGTTATGATCTGATTATAATGACAATACATAACAATTAATGATTGTATTAATTGGAAAAAGTTATGCAAACTTTTGATGTATTAAAAACAAGTTTGATATTCAAGTTTTAAAAAGTAATTGTTTATCGAAACAACAATTTTGTCGCAATCTGACGATGAATTTGATGACATACGATACATAACCATTGGACCAAACAATTGAATAATACTCTACAATAAAATGCTATTTGATATAAATATAAAAATCATGAGATTTAATAAAATTAAACCATAAGACAATCTAATCCAATGGGTTATATGACTATCAATATAACTGAACCATTCAATGCGCTATTTAAAGATTTTATGATTGGATCCGACGATGCGACTGACTGTCCATTTCTCACATAATACATGCGGTCATTAGTTTCGGACCATCGATTCGGCAACCAATTGGCTATAGTTTTCAAGTGATCCAAAACAAACAATAAGACAACTAATTTTATTTTTTTTTTGCTAAATAAAATTTTTAAAAACTCAAATTTATAAACATTGAGAAAATTTGTTTTAAATATATACATTAATAAATTATAATTTATATCAATAATAAATCAATCAGTTAATCATATTACCAAATAACGTGTTCACTGAGACCAATACAGTATTGTATATAAATTGCAATTTATTTCAATATTGAATTAATTACAGTATTTCCAGCCTAGAATTGATCTATTTTATTGTGATTTCAAACTACTCTGGGATCGAACTCCGGTCCTTTGATCACAATAACAATTGATGCTATATTAGCATTAATTTATCAGCCAATTAAATCAATCATTGAGTTAAATAGAAATAATGCTAACATTTAACAAAATGTTTTAATCTACAAATGCTTCAATTAAATCAAATTGTTATAATAATAATAATATTTAAATAATTGTATTTAAAAAAAATTCTCTCATTGCCATTATATATATATCATTAAAAATTAATTAACTAATAAATAATGTTAAATATTTAAAATTTTCATTTATTTTTACATCATTGTTATATAAATTATTGATTCTTATTTTTCTTTTTTTTATTTAATGGTTTAATTAAATAAATTATTGATATTATTACTATATTATTTTTGTACGCAATTTAAATAATAAAATTTAACAAAAATTGAATTAATTTTAGCATTAATATATATATATATATATATAACTGTATATAAATTATATTACAATATTTGTAAATAGTTAAATTTATATTTAGAAAAAAATTATTGTCATTATTTATATTATTTGTTGTTAAATATATACAAATTATATAATATAAATAAATAATAATTTGATTAAAACTTAAATTATTATCAAATTATTAGATAATACGCAAAGTAATACAAAGTACTGTATAAAGTAGTTTTAATAATGTTATTATTATAATTATAGATTATTAAACCTAAAATCAACTTGGATAATTTTTACTCACTAGTAATTATTAATATAAGTTGTTTTGCTTTATAATTTAATTAAAAATAAAAATATATATTAAATTAAATATTAAAAATATTGCTTTATTTTTTATTCACTAAATGATAATTGAATCAAAATAATTTAGTATAAAGTATAAAAACCTGAAATTTTAAATTAAATCTAAATTAAATGAAATGAAATATATTGAAAAGTATTTTACATATTATTAGAAATATTAGGTAATTATATAGTAGTTTAGCACAATTTAGGTAACTTTTAAAATTACTCTTAATCTAAACATTTATTTTAATTAACAATAATATCTATTAATTTTTAAATAGAGCTAAAATAGATTACAGTATTTAACAATTTTATAAATATAGAAAAAATATTTGAATTACTAATAAACAACAAATTTTAATTGTCATTTGTGTTAATAATTTATTTAAAATAGCATAAAAAGACTGTCACTTCTGGAGATACAGAAGCTATGACACTGACATGTCATTACATATCCGATTACATACAAACATGTATTATATTTGCTGTATTTGCAAATAAATTGATACATTTTATACAAAATGTTTATCAATAAAATTATTAATACTGTATATCAATTATATAGCTTAACAAAACATATAATCACACAATAGAGATAATTTATTTTTAAAAAATCATTATTAAAATTTTATATAAAGTCAATAAACTGAAAATTATTTGAAAATATAGTATATATTTTTGATGTTTTAGTGTAATGTTTATTATAAAAAAATTGTGGGCGGACTCAATATTGCATCCATAAAGATATATCACATGAGATTGACTTTACTTTTAGTGAAGTGACTCTTAACTTAGTTTCTCTCTCTTTCTTTTTCTCTTTCTTTCTCTCTCTCTCCCTCACACACACACACACACACACACACACACACACACACACACACACACACACACACACACACACACACACACACACACACACACACACACATAGTCACAGACATACATCACTATTTGTCCCTTATTTTTGATATATTTTGATTCACTCCTTACTTTACAGAGTTTTGACTCACAGAGTGATGAGTTTTAGAGGAAATGCTTTTTGTGGACTCAAAGCACTAGTTTTTGAATATAATTTTAGATTTGTTGCCAAACTTTTTGTTTGCATCAAATCTTATGCTTATTTCATATCTCCGTCACTCTCTGTCTCTATCGTTAAGTGAGTTTCACAACTAAATTATTTAGTTATTTTGTGACTTTGTTATACATTTACTATTTAAACTATATTATAATTGTTGTGTATTTCATATAAGAGTTGAAATAGTTATTATTTTGTGCTCAAAATAATTTTTATAAAATAATAATTATTATGTATTTATTTATATGAATCTCATTATGTATACTGCCTTTTATACAAATATGTGATACTAAATAAGTGGATAATATATTTTTCGGGTCAACTCAAATGCCTTATTGGTAGTGTCTTATAATTAATTGGCAAAATGCCGTCTCAATCAACCAGATTATCCTATTTAGCGGCCACACCGGGAACGGGATTCAGTCGGGAAAATATATGGCTCAACCGTGATTATGGCACTGAAAAGGTATGGGTCCTCAATCCCATGCATATCGTGTCGTTGAGCTCAGAGACAAAGTCCAAGTTTGTCAAAATTATCGAAAGTTTTAAACAGTTTAGTGAAAAATGGTTTTCACACGTCTTATTACTCATATTTCTTATACTTTACGGCTTTATCGGTGCCTATGTTTTTGTGACACTCGAGGGTCCCAATGAAATCAGTATTAAAGTATTTATTATTTTATTTTATTATATAAAAACATGAACTTAATTTCAATTAAGTTTTTATTGGTTATAGACATCGGTCAGTAATATGAGAGAAAATATCATACGTGAGCTTTGGTGGAGTTCCCAAAAGTTTACTAAAGGCTGGTGGGATAAGTTGGCTAAGATTAGGATGAAGGAGTTTGAAAGACAACTACATGAGGCCTGTATTGCTGAACAAACTACCGATTCTGAGAAAAGTAGGCATTTTTTAAGACTATTATCTTTGAAATAATCCACATCTCTTATCAAAGAAATAAATTGAAAAAATTGGCACAAAATTAACTTTTCTAAGTAATCAAAAGTGTGATACAATACGATTTTATTTATACAGTTATAAAATTAATAAATTCAATTTAATTTACAATAATATTTATTATCAGTTAAGTAACTCAACAAAAAATAGTTTTTTAGGTTAGGCTTTCTTAAAATATAGCAAAACACTTATTTAAATAATAAATAAATAAGTGTTCATAAACTTAATTCATTTAAATGATCAATTGAATGATCTAACATGAATAACAATGTAATGAATAATAGTAATATACAATATAAATAAATAGATAAACTTTGTAGTATTTTGATGTTTCTTATTTTTTTATTCATTAATATATTTTTTAAAGTATCGATAAATATGTACTGTATATCTAAATAATTAGTTTAAAATGATTTTAGAAATTAACTAAATTATACTATTTGTAGTACAGGTATAAATTTATTGTTTGTATATATTGTATAATAGAATATTATATTGTTTATGTATTTTATATATATTAATGAACCAAATGAATCCAATTAATTATTTGATAGATTTTGTTATTTCAAAAAAATAAAATAATAATAATATGATAACATAGAGCTCATTAAAGATATATTGTAATGATATATAATATAAATAAATTGTAATAAAATGTAAAAACAGGTGACTGGACCTTCTGGCACGCGCTCTTCTTCAGCTCGACTATCTTCACCACTATTGGTATGTTTTATTAATATATGTTTAATAATAATATTATTATTTATTAAATCTATGTCAGTAAGGATATGTTGTTATTGTTATTAAAAAATTATTTATAGATTATTGATGTACTGTATAATAGAAGTAATACAGAATTAACTATTTTGTATTATATATAATAATATAGTTTCAATGCTACTGTGATCTATAAATAGTAACAGATTTAAACTTAAAATATACTTTTATAATATAATATTTTTATAATTAAACATTTATAATAATAATGATAATATATTATATTTATAATTTGTTACCAATTGTGTGTTAATGTTGGTGTTAAGCCAAAAATAAATTATTGAATGCTATTTGCTGATTGACAAAAATAACTTTTCTTAATGTTACTTTTTAATTTAATGTTATTTTTCAAACATAAAAAAATTTATACATATAAATACTGAAAATATTATAAATTTATGTAAATATTATGCTATTTATTATTATTATTATTGAAATCGTCTCATGAATTCTGGGTTTTTAGATTTTCCAGTGTTTCTATCTCTGGTTTTTATTAAAATCTTTCTAAACATATATTATATAATTTATATGTAGTTTTATTATTAATATTGTTTAATACAAAAAAATTTTTGTATAATTTATAATTTTGCAAATTTAAGCAAATATAATTAAACAAATATAAGAAACATTTTTTAATTTTTTTAAATAATTTATTAATATATGAAAATTAATTTTTTATATAAAGTATATATCAATAAAAATAAATAGGTTTAGACTTTGTTTCTTTAATGACACACAGATTCTTAGGCTTTAAATACTGAATGTTTGGCATAACTTTCAAGAATTGTGTCAAACCTAACGCCAGTAATGAATTTATAAATTATATGACAATTGCATTAATATTACGAGAATTTCATTTCCGTTCAATTAATCTTTTAATTAGTTAACTGTCAGTTAAATTTGATTTTTTAAAACAATTTCAATATTTATAATGTAAAAAACTTTGTTAGTTTATTAATTATTATTATAATAAAGTATAATATTTAAAAAATAATTAATAATTTTATTGACATTTCAAAGGCTATGGACATGTGGTCCCCAAAACAGATGCGGGAAGAGTGGCCACAATTATCTATGCATTTATTGGTATTCCCTTATTATTGATGGTATTAACAGATTTGGGAAAACTGTTTACCAGAGGAATCAAAGTAGTGTTTAAATACTGCCGAATGATATACTATGCAAAACACTTGCGAAAAGTGAGATCAGTCGGAAAGAAAGCCACTCAAAGACTTCCCACTCAAGTGTGCTATTAATTGATTAATATAATTACAATTTTAACATTAATTAAATTACTTGTAAATAACAGTTACTTATTTTCTGTATGTAGTATATGAGCGTTGCCTTAGAAAAGATGACACAACTTCCTCATTCTCTGACCAACGAAAAGGATAAGGACAGTGATGGCGGACACTTGAAACCAGAGGATAGAAGACAAAGTAAAAGTCGCTCAAGAAGTCAATCGCCACCCAAACAGAGTCGACCGGTCTCTGTGAACGAGTCAGTGCCGAGTGTGTCGACCGCAGCCGTCGGCGATGAGACTGCAAGTACTCTAATGGAAGATCCGAAAGAGTATGAAGTGGACGATGAGTTTAATTTACCGATTAGTGTGGCCGTCATTTTGTTGCTCCTATATATGATGATCGGCGCCGCTGTGTTTACCGTAAATAATAACAACAAAAAATATTTTTTAATTTAAAAATTATTTAATAATTTGTTTTTATTTAAATTATCAGATATGGGAGGACTGGTCTTTTTTCGAGTCATTTTATTTTGTATACATATCTCTATCAACCATTGGTTTTGGCGATTATGTGCCAAAACATCCCATATTTATGATGTGCACATTTATCTACCTGTTGTTTGGTTTGGCACTGACCTCAATGTGCATTAATGTGGTTCAGGAGAAGCTGAGCGCTACCTTTCAAAAGGCAAAATTAAGAATCGGCGCTACAATGGGTTTAGATGTACAACAACTCATGGCTGAGGACTTGGCGATGGAGTCTAAAGAGGAGAGTATAGAAAAAGACGTCAAAGTCGTCGATCAGAAAGAAGATGACAATAATTTTAAGCTTAAAAATACTGAAATCGGAAAAACACTTAAAGAAAGACGAGAAAAAAAGAGAGACAGATCTCGTTCACCAAAACCAGAGGGCAAGAGTGGTAACGATAATGAAGATCGACTGTCGAAGGGATCTGAGCGCAGAAGTGTTGGATTCATTGACGATTAGATATGACTATTGGGTGCAACTTATGCTTAGGTTTAATAATACATATATTATTTATCAATAATTTTAAATAAAAAATTACTTTAGTTGAAAATATTTTGTAATTCAATATACATATATATATAATATCAATAATTACAAAGTCTTTTATACTAAAGTGAAACTTTTGTTAAAATTATATAATATAATATGTATGAAACCAAAGTGTCAAATAATACACAAATTATATTATTTCAATTATATTACTAAAATATAAATAATTATACTAAGAAGTTAATAAAATTTATATTATGTTATAAATTGTTTAAATATATACTGTATTATATTATAATATATAATAATTCTCTATATTTTCAATTCGTAAATATTGGGAAAATATTGAAAATAATTTAATAAATTTTAACAAACTTTACAATTAAGAGAAATATTATTTTAAATGACATCAAATTGTGATTAACTTAGAAAATATTATTAATAAAACTTTTTTCAAACAAATAATTAATTTAAATTCTAATATTAAATCAAAAGCATTATTTAAATAAAATATAAAACTATTTAGGCTTAAAGATAATCATTAATTTTATTACTGTATTAATAATTAATTATAAATTATCTAATTGATTATACGGTACAATATTAGAATTCATTAAATTAAAATATAAAATTATAATCAAATAATTGAGAAATTATAATTGAAATAGTTTTATTAATAATTAGTATTATATTATTTATATTATTAGTAGTTAATCGACAAATGGCTAAATATGAATGAAAGCTTGGCTTACAAGACAGTCAATCCAATGGATTATTTATTAAATATTTTAAACTAATTTATAATAACTAATTAATTAAAATACTTAAAAAATAATAGCTAAATATTATACAAATTTTAATACTTTTAGTTTTAATTTGTCAAACTGCGAGTCAAATAACGTAATTATATTGAATAGTTAATTACCAATTGATGACACCTCCAGCTGTAGCTCTAGTGCTATTAATACTGGGATTAACACTTCATTAACTATATTGCAATCACTAAACATAGGTTTCAATAAATAAAGCTCTCAAACATTTAGTCGTAAAAATAAATTAACTCATTCTTACATTTATTTTCATATACTGTAGTCAAACAATTTTGATGATTACTTACGATAAAAATTCACATTTAACATCATCTAATATAATTAGTTTTAAAAAATCTAAAATGCACCTGTTTAAATATAATGCTATTACTTGTCATAAAATTGTCATTACATGTATTACTAAATATTCATACAATATGTACATTCAAATTAATTTATAATATAATTAAGTTATCAAACTTTATATATTTTATATATTTTTATAAAATAAAATTTCAATTTTTAACTATTGAAAATTAGTTCATATGTTTAATTATATTGATTATTGATAATTAAATATCAATAGTATATGACGTAAATAGGATTCTAACAAATTCCTTTGTCCGGCTCAGTGGCCGAAATGGCTAAGACGTCGGATGTTTGCATTGTTGCCTAAGAAACAACACATTTGGTACTACGTCCGGGGTTCGATCCCTGATGAGTCACAGTTGTTTATTGGCATTTCAAACAAAGTAACACTGTATTTTGAGTTGTATTAACAGTAGTTGACATAGTAAATTTATCATTAAGCTTATTAAAGTTAAATATATTTTTTGCAAAATATTTAAGTTTTGGTACTATTTATTGTAATAATATAAAATATATTTCCCTTTCTAACAATGAAGGGAGGGAATATAAAATATTTTTCGCGAAAATTGGAGGGATTTTATTTGGGAACTTCCTCCATGGAAAATTTCTCGGACTTTACACGTAAGTTAAAACAACATAAAGTAATAGATTGTGAGCCGGATTTTATAATAATTTTTTTAAAAAAAAGTCAAATCCAAAAATATACAAAATGTGAATTCAGTCAATAAATTTCAGTGATTTAATTATATGTACTTTACGTAAATACAAACATTATAATAACATTTGAATGTCTTTTAATCTAATGAAAAGCAAAACATATGGAAAAATATTGACATAATTTGTTTGTCAATTTGTAAGCAAAGAAAATCACGTATTTCTCAATTTTCAAATTAATAAACATATAATGTCTGTAAAACTTCACAAACTTTAGTCACAAATGATTTAATATTATTTTAAAGTTCTTAAAAAAAATTATTAAATGAATTTATTTATATTTAATTATATTATATTATATTTATATTTTAACATTTTTCAAACATTTTATTTATTTTGCTTAACTAATTAAAACCAAATTAGTTTAATACAATCATGAGAGTAAAATATGTTTTATGTAATATAAATATAAAACTGATTTTTATGTTTAAAACAAATAATAATTTAAAATATTTAAATTAAAACTAAAATTGATAAAATTGTAAATTCCTTAGAATATACTGTTAGGCATTTTCCCGATATTATTAACACAAAATTTCTATTACTATACAGGATTTACAAATATAATTGTTGGCATATTATTAAATATATTGTATAACCTATTTTTACCGGATTCATAAAAATTAAATATTAATGCTTGAAAATCCGGCACATTTTTATTGATCTGAAAACAATATTGACCAATGTCCATACCAAACATACAATTTTTTATCATAAAATGTAGTTTATATTTAGTTTATATAAAATAAAATTACAACACTGTTATTAACTAAAGACACATAAAAAGTTTTATATATTATATTACTATATTATTAACTATGATTGAAAGCAAGTCCATCAAAATTCAATAAAAAAAACTTGTAGTGAAATGCTCACCTGGATATAGCATAACCATCCTATGATATACTGTATATTATATAGCTTTTTATTGAAAACTAAATTTATAAGAAATAAAAAAGGTGTGTATATACTATACTGTATAGTATATTATATACAGTACATGCAAGTAATGTATGTGTTTTTGTGTGTATTTGTAATGTATGTGATGTGAAGATTATATATAAATATTCTGATGGTATTTATACCGTAAATCCAAATAATATGAGTGCGCGCGCCATATGATAGCCATACGGATCGATAGTACATACCGTTAAACTTGGTATAAGTATACAGTTATACACTATCAGTGTTTATATACTATATGTGTTAACCGGTTTGTAGACATCGAAATCTATATATTATTATAATTCCTATAAACACTATTATATAAGTAATTTAATTGTTTGAAGTATACATACCAGTGCTGGTGACGGCTTATCATTTGTGCTCATATACTGTATATATATATATATATATTAAATAGTTTGTGGTCTAAAACTCGACAGTCTGTTCAGTGACTGATTACTTTGAACAACAAAATTGTGCAAAACTTTGTTGTTGTAGTTGTTGTCATTGTTTAAGTACTTAATGTTTTAGTTTATGTTTAAGTGCCGTAACTTTTTATTTTCGTTCAAACTATTTATTCATTGATAAGATCGTACTGTAAGTATTCAATTAAAAAAGTTTTAAAAAACTTTTATATTTACACATTTTTACTTAACTTATCGGATACTCAGTTTCAGTATATCTCAATAATTATATTATCAATTTAAAAGTAGTAATTTTAAAAATAGGCCTTTTCTATAAAAAAAAAGTTACAAAAAAGTCCAATTTATTTATTGCTAATATTTGAGTAATTGCTTAGTATTTTGAGTGGACTAATCAATAAATAAGTAATACTTTAAGATTATGTCATAAAAAATCACGTGCACTTATTATTATATTAATCACGAAGTTTATAACTTTATATTGTATTAACATAGAGCTTATGATATTATATAACTGGACAGGGGTCAATCCTGATTATTATATAATAAGTAGGCAATACCTCAAGTCCATGAACAAAATGACATGTTATTGGTGTAGTTATATACCCACACATTACTAGTATTGTACTGACAACACATATATTATTTTGCTATCTTGTTGTACACAATTTGTATTAACACACACACACACATACACGCAATGGTTTGTACGATCACTTTAGTAGATTAGTTTCCAAACATTAGATATACAATATAACCAGTGAATTGTTTGAAAAAATTCTGTAAATTGAATTGATTTTTTACTAAATGTTTAAAATCTAATAAATATTTCCATAATATTATATACTGTATATAGGATTTATTTCGACTACTATTACTACTAGCACTGGTGTCAAAAAATTTGAGATTATATAAGGAAATATGTTTGGCGGCAGCGGCAAGAAAAAAGGTATTGTATATGATTTTTTATAGCTATTTTATCAATTTTATTTTTTTTGTGTCATATAGTTTTGATGTAAAACATATACATTTATTTTAATAAAATAATTAATAACATTTTTCTTGTTATTATAACAATGTTTTCTAGTGAATAAAAAAATAAATATGATGTCTTGTATGTTAATAAATTAGATGTTCAAAAATATATTAATACAGAACATAATTTTGATTAATTTATATCAAAAATTCATGTAAAATAAAAGCGTTTGAGTTGTAGTCGTAATAATAATAATAATATTTTAAATAATGAATAGTTTGGGCGCATAATTTGGCACATATTCTCAAGCCTTTTTACTATTAGCAGGCGATTATAATTTATCAAAATTTTTCATATTTTCAATTTGGCTTTTGGCTAACATAATGTATTAAACTTAAGCGTAACATATTTTATATTTTTTATTTATAATTTTTGAATATATATATATAATTCTGGACTCAATTTTAGTCCAACAATTTTTTGCTATTGCTTTCATTTGCTATTTATATCATAATAATAGTGTAATTATGAAAAATTCCTTAATTTTATAAAGCGTTTAACATTTCACTTATTATTTTTTCTGGGCGCTAATCCTCGGTAATTATATGCTAACATTAGATTGTATATACAGTACTAACTTTATTGTTTGCAAAATAAGTTACATTAGAAATAATAATACTTTATGTGTAAATACCGTATGTATGAAATGACAGTTAATAAAGTTACTGTATATATAAAATTATTCAAAAAACTATTGACTCGTTTCTTGTAATAAAAGTATCCAAAAACTTAGATTAAACTTCCATATAATATATGATATGTAATACAATTATCATTGAATATATTTTTTATTTATATCAATATAATTTACAAATGAAAATATGATATTTTACTTATACTTTCAATAGTCAAATACACTTTTGAAAGAAATGCTGAAACATGAAACAAATGAATTTTTATTGTCATAATATTGTGACATTTTCTCATAAATGATAATTTTATTGTAATTATTACAAAGAAAAACCATAATTACAAATATTTATATTCAATTTACTCACAGAGAAATATTAATTCTTAAAAACTATTGCCACCTATTTTGTCACTAATATAACACATAAAACTGTATATGTATTATAAGTATATTTGTATATTTACTAATAAAATAAAGGGAATTCTATAAATCATTTCCTAAAAACTCAAATTTATTTAAATTATTAATTTTTTATATTATTGTCATTTTGTTTAAAAACATTAAACCTTTTAATATAAAAATCTGAATTTTTTCGAAGAGGTTCGGCAGATATAAATACTTTGTAGATATTACTTGTATTTTCATAAAATTTCTTATTAAGATTTTTTTAAAAATTAAAACCAATCGTAGTTTTAAAGAACAATAACTGCAGAATGAAAAAAATAAAATAGAAAATAATATTTAAAATTATTGTTAAATTAAAATTATTTAACCTAAATATGAGGTCAAATTCTCACATTTGTAAAGTTAAAAAACTAAAACTAAATTTATAAATTTTGCTGTTTTTCATTAAATATTTTATTAATATAATTGGATATAACCATGATATTTTCTATAAATAATGTTTGTTATATATTTTCTTTTCTAAATTTTTTTAGACCATTGTGGGAATAGACTTATAATTTTGAATATTTTATTTAATGTTATAAAAAAATACATATTAATAATTGTGATGTTAGTAACATAAATGCTTAGCATATACTGTATTATGCAATGGGGGCTAACGATAGATAGTATCTAGTATGATATATTAAAGGGATAAAAAAATAAAAATAAAAATTTAAGTTAAAAAACATTTATTTAAAAACTATGGGACAAGTGATCACATTATTACAGACAACACAATGATAATAATTAAATTAAAGTTACAATTTATATATCTTAATAAATGCTATGAAATATTTCTAGAAATAGTTATTAATATTAAAACACATATTATATTAAGTTATTTCTTTGAAGTAATAAACAATTAATATTATATATCTATAAACAAAATATAATATTTAAAATTCATATTAAAAATATTGAATTTTGATAAATATATAAATAAATAATTTTATGTAGAAATATGTTTCTACACCATTATTAAAAGGTGATCACATTTTAATCACTTTACTAATTATTGATAAATTTTTAATTAAAAAAAATATATTTTACTTTTGTGAAAATGTGTTAATTACAGTGTATATCAAAATTTTCTATTATTGATTAGTTTTAGATAAATATACATTTTTATTACATTTTTTATAAATTCGAATAAAATCCAGTTATATATACAGAATATATATGTATTTATTTCGTATTATTTGTTATCATATTTGATCACAAATATAGTTAAAAGTAATTAATGTTTTTTAATTGTAAATTTGATAAATTTATCAGAATTAACGTTAAAATATAGCGTTTTAATTGGGAAATGACTTAAAGAAATCCCTTATATGAGAAAAATTTCAACATTTATAAGTAGCCATTCTTTGGAAAGATTTGTAATGAATACTAAACTAATTGTCTGACACTTTCTTTTACTTTGAAAACCATTTGTCAATTATAGTATAATATATACTATTTATGTAAATATTATTCAACAAATTGTCAAATATTATGAAAAAACGATTATTTATTTGAATTTATTTGTGAATTTATTACATTTTATGATATTTTCTAAATGTTTGTTATATTATATGGTAATTATACATTTTTAACAATACAAAATCTATAATATAATTATTTAAATTGGTTTAAAATATTTTAATTTTAGATTTTTAATAGCGTAAAAATCTATTTTACTAATAATATTTTCTAATATGATGTTAAATTATAGTATATTTTGTGAGAATTCAACATTATTTGGTTAATAAAAGTATTTCTGAAATTTCTTTACAATTATAACTTTCTTTATGTCTTTCAATTTTACTTTACTATTCACTGTATTTATTACAGAATAAAATGCATTCAAAAAACATTATTTTATATTTTACGATAAAAACTTTTTTATTTGTATATAATATATATATAATAATAATAAAGAAGTCTTGCATTTAATACCCGAATTTAGATCATTTGACTGTTATATTGCAAACATAGAACATATACTGTATATTATAATACATTTACAATACTATCATATATTCAAAACATATATACTGTGAGCTATATTCCGACTATACATTAGTTTTATCTCAAAACAGTTCATTTTTCATATAAACTAACTGTTAGGTCACCACAAAATATATACTATAGACTTGCAGTTTGTTTTTAGTACTGTATATAAAACATTATATACAATACATTAGAAATTTCTTTGTTGTATTCATTGTAAATATTAATATTATTAATAAACTTTATTTTATTATCAAATACTCTACAGAATATATATATAAATTAAAATTATTATTAAAAATAAACAAATGTTATTTTAAGCAAAAAATATTTATGTATTAATATTTCAATTTTAGTTAAATACTAAATATATATATTCTTTTAGTTATATTACTCTATAATTCTTATTTATTATGAAAGTTAATCAAAATGACAAATAAAATAATGTAATTTAAAATATAAGTTAATAAAACATTTGTTTTGATTTAATATAACATTTATTTTGATTTAATAAAAATTATTATTATATTAATATAAATGTAATTTATTCAATTTACTATAATATCAATTCATTGGCTAATTTTATGGTATAGTAATTTTGTTGAATATTTATAATATAAAGAAACTGATATTACAACAAATACATTACAAATGTTTTATTAAATAACTTTATATAACGAGTTAATGCATTTTAGTCCTTAATCTCACAAATTTCTGTCAGATATATTTAGGACTGTAATATTGGGTGTATATAATGTTTTCAAAAATAAAATAGCATTTCTAGAAATTTTCCCAAAACAATATAAGAAATAAAAGATTAACTTGTAAAATAATAAAGTAATTAAAAAATGTAATATTATAATTAAAATGAACTTTAAATATAATTACAGAATTTTTATATCAGAAATTCATATAAAGTTATAAACAACTAAAATAACAACTAATGTTAATGAGTTTTACTAATACACGACTATTGCATACTTTAATAAAGAAAATAATTTAACTTTAAAGCAGAATATCTTGAAATTTATTATTATATTTTATTAATCATATTTTTACTTAAATAAACATTTAATCAATTGTAATACATAATAAAATTTACAAGGTTTACATATATAATGAAAAAATTTATAGAAAAATTCTAACTGGAAATTTCTAATACATTTATATTTGTTAACCATTAGTTATATCGTTTTATATTACAGTATATTATCTTTTATTATAATCAATGAGACAAATACTGTAACTTGTATTTCGTGTATTAAAGTCATTCATATTCACTTGAAATCGATATTATTTTCTATTTTGATTTTCATATATAATATTATTGATAACATTGAACCATCAAAATTGGTCTTTATTTGTCATTGATTAGATGTTGCAAATAAATCACTACATTTGCAATGATAAGACCCAATCTTTAATTAAATTGATTAACTATTATAAATGGCTAACTTTTTGAATAATTCAAACAAATTATTTATAACAACCAGAGTATATATAGTACAGTATTTATAAAAATATGTTGTATTAAGTAATAAATAATTTAATTTAAAATAATTTATTATATTAACTTATAATATAATTACTAAGCATTTTATAAAATTTATAATAATGTATACATAATATAATCATATTTTTTGTTTGCTTTTAGATAAATATCTAATTACAATACACGATAAACTAATAAATCTACATTAAATTAGTTAAAAATAACTTTCAATAAATAAACTAAATAAACATTCACACATATTGTTTGTTTAAATTTAAATTATGTTTATTCAATCATTTTAAGAGACTATGGATAACACATTTTTACATACTATAGTATAGGAAGTCATTA